AATTTAATGATGAAAATGAAGCCAATCTCTTCTCATTGATGTGGACACAGGGAAGAGACTAAAGCAGAAGAAAAGAGAAAAATCCTTTAAAAACTAGCCTGTCACAATTCCCAACTGATTGTGTCAGCTGACTGTGTCAAAACCATCAGAAATACCAATTTCAATAATTTCAAATGGATATGCTCAGGGGCATGTGTCTACCACATTGAAGACCCTGGCTTCCATGCCCAGCCCAACAACAAAAAACAAAACAAAACTAAATACTTCAACTCACCAGTGAGCCTGTGCTATGAGGTGAGTCATCCTTTCCACATGTTCAACATGAAGGTTGGTCCTGTGATGTTCAATTCTACTCCAAATGCTTAAGTTTAAAAACAACTCTCTAGGTTGCAGTGCTGTCCATGTTAGAAATTAAAGAAAATATCATAACAGCGACGACACAATTAAACATGACTTTCCTGAAGCAAGCTGCCCATCTTTGTGGGACTGTACAATTCTCAGTTAAAGTCAGTGTCTAACACAGATCTCCTCTCATCAATTAACAAAGAGGGATTCATGTGAAAGGTACCTCTGTCGTGTCATATCCAATATGGCCACATTTTGTTTTATGCTTAGGTGTGCTTAGTGTAATTTTTGTATTCAGCATTTAGTACGGAGAGTGCCCTGGCATCGTGTAGCATGCACTACTCTCAACTGTAAAGTAGAGAAATTCTCTCCATGAATTTGTTCTGAAGAACCAGGCTGCCTGAATATGCATACACAATTCTAACCTGCCAACACTTCCAACTATTTTCCAGCATAAAGAAGACCAACTTGCAAATAAACCCACTATCCATATAAACCCCAAGTGAGCTCAACTTTCTAGAGCAAAGGGGAAATGACATTTCAAGGCTGGACTGTCAGGCAGACTCACTAACTTTTGATGTTTGAACGACAATGCTAAGTAAAGTAAGCTTTATTAGCTAACTTTAAAGATGCTTAAAGTGTGAGACAAGTCTGGACATGCTGCACTTGCTAAAGATTAAACATCACAGTTGGTCTGCTAAAGAAATTTTGCCTTTTAAATTCAAACTAAGGAATTCTTCATCCCATACAATTAGATCTGGAATTCTCATTTACACTCATAGATACAACCTCATCAGAAAGTTTGGGAAAATACAGTTAATCAAGTTTTCCAAATTCTAAGGTATACTGGAGCAAATTGCCATTAAGAACATTTCATTCAGATTATTCTACGATTAGGACCCACAGTATCTTTATACTGTATGAGCTATTCAGACCTGAAAATGAACTAAGTGGGGGAGCTAAAGGTTGACTAAGTATGTTCTACCTAAACACTGCACCAGCTCACTTCTTAAAGAATTCAATCAAGCCTCCTTAACAATGTAATTCAGCACATGTTCCTTCAGGGGAATCATCCACTTGTGTAAAGATTGCAAGATAATATCTGACTTTCTGCAGCACAGTCTAAGTAACCTACTTCTATGATGAAGCAGAGAGTGTGACATGACAGGGGAAAGCCAAGTCAGTTTCATAAACATCTACTATTCTATTTGAAAGCATGTCTCCCAAAGACATGTTACCTGGAAGCAAACTGAAGGGAACTTCAACCAAAGGAGTGACTTTTAGAGCCAGAAAGAAGTTGACCCCTCTAGGAGCAAAGCCTCCATCCATGTCCATCAGCTGTGGGACTGCAGCTCGGAGTATTGGAGGTGCACTGTCCATCCCTTGTGAAGGAGAAGCTCTGCCATTCCAAAATCAGTTTTCCCGAAACCACCCTGGCAGCCTTTAACCAGTCTTATCATCCATAAACTAAGAAATCCCTTACCTGGTGTTCTTCGATTATTAAAGGAAGGAACAGAGTTCATTACAATATAGTAATCAAGATTCAGAATACACCTCCAGAATAGGTCTGGAGCACTGAGCAGTCAATACTGATCTGGGACAGGATGGTGTGAGTGCAGAGACCAGTCCAAGTGCATGCCTGTGCGTTGGCTCGTTTAATTAAACCTCAAGCCCTCATCCAAACCACTTTGTCTTTTTTTTTTTTTTCTCCCCTCGAGACAGGGTTTCTCTGTGTAACAGCCCTGGCTCTCCTGGAACTCACTCTGTAGACCAGGCTGGCCTCGAACTCACAGAGATCCACCTACCTCTGCCTCCCAGGTGCTAGGATTAAAAGAGTGCACCACTATTGCCCAGCCTATTTTAGGATTTTTAACAGCAAGAACTCAAGCTTCGAAAAGACTGATGTCTAATCTGCCCTCCAAGCCAAGTAGTGAGGCAAACTCACAACTGGAGGCTAAATGCCCACAGACGATGGGAATTAAATACTACCCTGACAAATCTGAAAAATGACCATTTGCATATACAGATGCTCCATCAAAGCTGGAAGCTTGTCAGTGAGCATTACTCAAAGTGTTGGAGATAACTGCAAATCACTAAAGGGACAGGTGAATGCTCATAGTCACCTGGCGTTTTATTTTCCTCAGTCTTGAGATGGAAGGCAGCTCCCCTACTACATGTTTTAAGGTAAAAGTTCTAAATAATTTTATAGTCACTATACCTCACATATTGAAAGATATTAAAATATTACAAAGACATAAAATTACCACTGAGCTACATCTCCAACTATTGTGAGTGCTTGCATACATGTGAGTTTATACACATGTGTTTTTTTGTTGTTGTTTTTAGTGCTTGGGATTTTTTTTTTTTTGGAGACAGAGTCAAGTACGGAGACTAGCCTTAAACTTGCGCAGTTTAAGATGGTTTTGAACTTCAGATCCTCCTTCTTCTGCTTCTAGCCCCCCCAAACCCTGACACCTCCCCAACCCACCCTCAGAAGAGTGCTGATGTTACAGGCATGTACCACTATGCCTAGATGTTTTGCTATCCTTGTGTAGGAAAGGGCTTCAATTTACCCAGTGAAGCACAGATGCTGCCTATAATCTAAAATGTCTAAGCGAAAAAGAATGCCAATTCCTAACATACCGTGTTCACAAAGGAAAACAAGGGGCTCTGTGGCTGCATCCCATGTCCCTGACTCCCTAAGTCTGGAACAAAAGCCCCGTTGTAAGGCTTTTATCACTAATGCAGTCACTAATTCTCATGTAGGTCACCATGTTTCACAGTGTGAAATGAAGGGGATAGGTTAAAAGTAGGGACTAGTCAATAAAACATAAGTAAAGTAATGTCTGGTTTTCAAATTAATTTTAAGTCCTCAAGTATGAATATAATTTTTATATATTACACTTATGGCCACAAATATGAAAATCATAAAGGCTGTTTAGGCAGAAATGGAACTCCATGGTTAGGATCACAATATGTCCTTGGAAAAGTCACTTAACCTCTAGGACCTTCTTTATCTGCTAATACAATATAACCAGAAAACAGTTGAAGATGCCTGAAGAGAGAGTTTACAGAGCTGTTGACAGAATAACTATAGTCCCTACAAACTGAACCTGTAAGAGGTGTGAATCAGGAGTGGTGCACAACACCTAATATTTTACCTACATAAGAAGCAACACTGAAGGTCATAGTTCTTTTCATAAGAGGAAAAGGAACTCTTTCAGGAGTAGCAGCAAATACTGCATGCAGACAAAGCAAAAGCAAAACAAGGGTCTTCAGCAGCTAGCGGGTGGGCTGCTGATCCTGACCAGCAGAGTTTGAGTCTTGGGACCCTCAAGATGGGAGAAAAGAACCAACTCCTGCAGGTTATCTCCTGACCCCCATAAACATTCAGGGTAGCATTTGCATACCCACACAATAAATAAGTAAATGTAACAACAATTTTAAGTAAAACAAGACACAAGAATCCAACAAAGACAAATAATATCTCAAACCCTTAAAGAAAAGTGCTGTGAGCACAAGGAAATGGGCATCAACTTATACTATTACATCAACAGCCATTGATAGTGAGTGCCAACATTACACAAGGCAGGAAATGAACAAACAAATCTCCCAAGCTGGGGACAGAAAATGAAGTATTGTAAATCCAGTGACAGATAGTAAAAAAGATCTAACTTACTTGATTTTCAGAGATCAAAATCTGGTAACACACACACACACACACACACACACACACACACACACACACCCACCCTAAGATGTTAAGTTGGTTAGGAAAATACCACACTTTAAAGGTGTGTATGCTTCATCCTAAGAACCATAGAGCACTTACAGTGTAAGTGGGAATCAGAGAGGCCTTATCCTCTGGATTTTCCCCTGGTCAACCATCTTTGAATGAACATGTTAACTTTTCATAACTTTAAGAGCCTTATGCACACTTTACAGATTGTCTTCATTTCTACACAGATGCATAGTCCAAAGACTCTGAATCTAAGTGCACTGAGATACTCACAATCGTCTAACAGGCTTCATTCAGCCTTGACTATAAGGCAGCCAGTGTTCTAAGGACTAAAAATGTGACTCAGAACAGACCCAGTCCCAGTGCTAAGGAAGATTAAGTTTTCAGAGGGGAAGTTACAAATGAAGAAGTAAAAGATGTATTTAGGGTTAATAAATACCATGGATGCGTAATGAAAGTCACTGGCAAAAAAGGTCAAGAACAGTATTTCACAGCACCTGTCCACAGACAGAGATTTGCTGCCAAAATGTATAGCAATTTTTCTTTTTTGCTACATTATGCCAGTTAAATAAGTAAACACTATTACCACTCAAATATTTTACATATAAAAATAAGCAAAAACATTTTTCCAAGTTCTGAAGATAAAATTTAATGAATTAAGTGTACCTGATAGAAAAGCTGATGACTTAAGACTCTTTTCAAACAGAAACCAATAGACACACATAGTGTTTCACCTTCAAATGTTATTTCAACACGTTCATAAAGAACTTTCATAGCAAAACTATGCAGGAAAATAGGTAAGTTTTATTCTCTTTTTATTTACCTTCATCTTATTTACTTACTACTTTTCTAGTATTTCAGATAATTTAAAATATTTAACCTTACTGATAGTCCACAGATTACAGCATTCCCTCACCTGTGCCTGTACACAGCGCAGATCTGTTCATCTGAAGCCAAGTCCAAGAGGAATCTGCAATATGAACAAACAAACAACATCAGTGAAGACATAGGATCTTGCTGGGCTCCTTAGATAGAGCACTAAAACTTTTACAATCGATCCATAGCTAATATTTGTTCATCGCTCCCAGTGCACAAGTAACATTCACTAGTGACATAGTGAGCCAAGAGTATAACTACTACAGCATTACTCTACTTGTATAGCACAGTACAAAGTGCACAGAGAACATTCTCTGTGAATGACAGAATACCTACAAGATTCTGAATTCTCACAGCCACATTTCAATTGCTATCAAATGGCCAGCTCTCCCCACCAGGCTTAAGATGGTCACAGCAGAGGTGGTCCTGGCTGCCTATTGCAACTCTATAGTTCTAGGATGAGCACGGGTCCTGCACACTATAATGCTCTGTAGCACATGTTTTATGAGTAAACAAATAAAACCCATAAAATAACTGATGTGCCATGATTTCAGTTTCCCAAAACATAACTTTTGAAAGGCTTAAAATTACTGAAATAAGACAAAAAAATCTATGTAGTAATTGTTTAAAAGCATAAAAATGATGGAACAATTTGCTATCTGAGGAAAAGTCTATTGGAGTAAAGAGTATACTGTGTGTGACAGCCATCAGAGTTTGACAAGCAAAGGGAGAGGTGCACACTTCACTAATGAGGCAGCCCCTCAAGTTTCCTCAGGGTCTATCTCTTGAGAACAAAAACCTCCATGCAAGCTGGCAGGCAGCCTTCACTTTGATCCTGCTGCCTCGCCATGCACGCGTGTTTCCAGATGCACACTGAGAAGCACAAGACAGGAGATGTATGCTTATGTTATTTTATCTAGACTAATGTTTAACTAGAGTAATTGTGCATTTTATGGATCCAAGAAAAAAAAAAAAAAAACAAGTGCTCGTTACTGGTAATAGTACTGAAATTGTGGCCTTTTGGTCAAGCATTAATGATTCTAGACTTAGCTCCAAGGAAGGTTCTTACAACTGAGCCCAGAGGGTTTCTTTTCCTTCACGTGACATCAAAACAACTGACACTTTGGATCAGTTGCCAAACTTAAAACAGTGTTAATGCTTTTTACAATTAATTTAAAGCTTTTACAAAAAGTTTAAAGCTTTTTACAATTTAGAATAGAAAATAGGAAGAGAAAGAAACTAATGCCAAATTAATATTCAAGTTTCTCCTTTTCTAGGACACTGGAAACATTTGATTTCATAATCTACAAGGTCTATAGAAGAGAGAAATTGACAAGGATGCATTTTGATTTTCACTGGGATGTAGTCTTGAAGTCATCATACGTAATAAAATACAAAATGGGTATCCAATGCAATTCAATGAAAATAACATAAAATTTATGTACACATAAGTTTTCGCAGTAAAATGAATGGATTCTGCTCAAGTGTCAGTAAGCAATAAACTGCCATGGAGGAGTCCTCCATCCTTTTAGTAAGACATGGGTAGATTTTCAACTATTCATTTCACCAGCCTATGTATGCCACTCATAATGCCATACCAACCACTGCTCAAGGACATCATATATGAAACAACTATGAGCTAAAGCTTATGGTATTGATAGAGCACTATCTGCTTGCTCTATATTATCCAGTAAGCTTTATTAAGATAGTAAAACAACACAAGACCAGCTACCAATCACTCCCGTTAAAGAAAGATATATCAGGGGGCTGGAGAGGTGGTTTACTTATTAAGAGCACTGGCTGTTCTTCCAGAGAACCCAGGTTCAATTACCAGCACCCACATGGCAGCTCACAACTGTCTGTAACTCCAGTTCCAGGGGATCCAATATCTTCACATAGATACACACACACACACACACACAGAGAGAGAGAGAGAGAGAGAGAGAGAGAGAGAGAGAGAGAGAGACAAAACACTAATGCATATAAAATAAAAATAAATAAATTTTTAAAAAGAAATATGTATTGGAGACCAATATATTTCCAGATATTCACAGTATATGATTTCTTAGTGTAAGTTCTACACAGAAAATTAATAAACTAAATACACAGAGTTACAAACTATGGTTTAAGTTTATACACTACTTAAAAAATACCATTTCAAAGTAATAGTACATGGCATGGTATAAAAGTTCTATATCTCACTCCTCCTCCACTGGTCTTCCTGGTTCTCAAGTGCCCCTTTAGGGTGCTTTACAAAAAAGGGGGAAAGGAGGAGACCGGCCTGGGCATGGCAGAGTGACAGAAAACTGGAGTCTGGCAAGAAGGACAGATGGGCTGTGTTTTGGGTTCTCTCAAGCAGTACTACATTTCCAGGTGCTGCCCAAGAAGGTCCACAAAGACATGGTGGGATCAGTGAAAGAGCTCAGGGTCATAGCTTCCCTACCGACTAGGTCTCAGATTCTGACCTGACCACACAAACAATGCTGCTATCCATACTATTACAATTACCATGAGGCTAAGACACAAGCTAGCACATTCATCACTGACTTCACTGAGATGAGAATAACATTGCCCTCTTTGTGGAATCTTGAAAGAAACAAAGAGCCAACTATGCAGTGCACCTGATACATAGCAGAATTGTAACTAAGATTCTGTAACACAGGCAACTCAACCAAAGATGCGGAAGCTCAGGCCCACACACCCTAAGGATACCTAGTTTTCACTAGTGTGTCCTCATAGATCTGCCCTTTAAACCCCCCAATCCCCCTGAGTAATGAAGACTCTGCCACATGCTCATGCTGTCCCCAAGTCATGTCTGGTGAGCAAGGTCCAGAGCTCATGGCTGGCAAGGCTGGCCCGATCCACAGTGCACGGCCATCACACCTGGGGGTGTTCATGGAAGGTCACTGTTTTGATAATGCTATCATTTTTGCTAATTTAATAAGAAGGCAGAGATCTGACCCCTGAAAACAGCCTTCTTGTGATCTATGTCATGTTAATAAGAACAGCAAAAGCACATGGTCTCCATACTGTGAACAGACTGTGGTGTTTTGTTTTTTTCTGTGTCCTATTTCGTAATTTTTCTCAAGCAATATTGCCACCAACCAAAGGAAGCCATTTCCTATACGACAGAGTAGTGCATGAGTGAAAACATGTTGGTCCACCTGAGCCAACTCCCTGCATTTCTGACATGCACCAGAGAATCCAACACTGGCTACTTGGAAGAGATGGCTGACGGGCCAGAGGGAGCCAGGCAATGCTACACTGCATGCTCCCACAGAGGATCTTAGACTGGCCCCTGTTAAGCTAGCACCACTCCAGTCATCAAGCCAAGCAGGTAGGCTGGCAAATGCTGAGGACACACAGAGAAAGTTGTAGGACTCTTCAAATTCTTTAACGGCTTCAGTCACACACAAATAAATGCCAGCAGCCTACGATGTGCAGTCAGTACAGTCAATTATTTTTTATATTGATTAAAAACATAAAACCTACCACGTAAAACAAAGTCTGATCTTAACTTAGCAAGCTTCAAATCATAAGGGCATGCCTTCACGAAAACAAGAAAACTTTATATATACATGTGTTGTGCATATTTATGTATATATAGAGAGTATATAACTACATAAGTAAAACAAATATATCCTAAAATAGAGTAGCATAAATTTTAGTGAATCGAAAAATCAATGTTGCATCATATGACCTAATGTACATAGGACAAGGAGCGTAGCTCCATGGTAAACCATTTGCCCAGCACAGGAGGTGGGGGGGGTAGACTGGGCACTTTTGAGACTGTTGCCTCTGCTGGTTTCTAGCTTATTTATGGTCTCCTGCATCGCCTCCCGAAGTGTCTGGACTAAGGCACAAATTATGTCACTAAAGCTTGATATTCTTGCCTAGCGACAGCGAAAGTTCATCTCATACTTGTTGAATGTTTGGGGCTCAGATTTAGAAGAAGACTAAAGAGACTAAACATGAAGAGTAATCTGACAACTTAAATTAGAAATAGTTAAGATCTGAGCAAAAAGATACAAAGAAAGGAGAGTTATAAGCTTGGAGCTAAGCCCAGAGAAACACCAACATGGGAGAACAAATGCAAACAAAGTAGGTAACAGGTGGAAGGCCAGCAAAGTCTGGGTAGGGCATGCAAGAGGAGATGCACATTGTTCCATTCCATGGGTTGAGAAAATTAAAGTTCCTATCTGATTTGGTAACCAGAAAGTACTGGTCTCTTTAAAAGAACAGTTTCCAAAAGAGAGAGATATAAATGAAGATTGCAGAAGGCTGAAGTGCTGACAAGCAAACAGGAAATAAGGATTTGAGCCCAGGATGTGCAAATGACCACTATCAGTACCTTAAACTTAACTTTATCTTCCCATCCATGGGAGTTCTTTGAGGGCAGTGGTAAGGCATCAACCACCCTTCAGTGGGGCAGGACTAAGATGTCAGCCATCCTTGAGGAGGGCAGGGCTAAGGTGTCAGCCATCCTTGAGGAGGAGAGGGGTAAGGAGTCAGCCATCTTCCAGCAGGGCAGCCTGAGGAGCTCTACTTCTTGAAAGTACTCTGAAACCTACTCACAAGACTCAGGTTTGCCTCCCACCATGACTAGAACATGACTAGAACATGACACCCACACCAACCAGCCTCTTAGGTTAAAGGCCACAAAACAATGCAGTTTACTGTCCTTTGATTAGTCATGTGAACAATCTCAAATTATAAACTTCCTTCAGATATTCACCTTCTCTTAGTTTTTTTTTTAATTCCTAATTATTGTCGATGAAATAAAAAACACTGAAAAATAAATGAACCCATTATTCTTCCTTTTATATTCTTGAGTTTAGGGTAAACAAGCCTGTAAAATACTTCAAGGTTGCTCATAACTATAGAATATCTTTAGACAGAGAAGTGGCAAAGAAATCTGACCAAAAGTAACACTCAAACCTAATGATCTGTCCATACAGGACAGGGACAATCTTTAACCCCCAACATACCCTCAACAAGCAGCAGACATCTGTCTACCAAAGGTCACTCTGTCAAATGATGTCACTGTCACATTAAGATGATCATTTCAATATAACAAAAGGAAGCTTCACACAC